AAGTCTATTTAAAAAGTTGCTCAACATTATTAGGCATTAAGGAAACGCAAGATGAACCCATGGAAAGAATCTACTATATGCTTATTTAGAATGGCTAAAATTTATAAATGTGACCATGACAAGTGTTAGCGACAAATGCTGAGGAACTAGAACTCTTAAACACTGATGTTGCAAAATGGCATAACCATTTTGGAAAAGTGTTTGGCATTTTCTAAAAAAACAAAAACAAAAACATATCTCTACCATAGGATTCAGCTATTTTACCTTAGGTATTTACTCAAGAGAATAGGAAAGACATATTCATATAAAGACATCTACATAAATGTTTATGGAAACTTTATTTGTTGTAATAGTCAAAAATTGGAAATAATTCCAAATGTTCATCATCATATGGATGGTTAAACAAATTTTAACATATCCATAAAATATACTACTACTTACCAATGAAAATAAACTATTGATACAATAACATGGATCAATCTCAAAATAATTATACTGAAAGAAGTCAGACAATAAAACAGTACATACTGTATGATTCCATTTATATAATACTCTAGAAAATGTAAACTAATCTATAGTGACAGAATGTAGGCTATGTTTGGGGCAAGGGAAAGGAAGGATGGAGAAAAGCATTAAAGAGGCACCTTTAATGGTAGACATATGGTTACTATCTTGATTTTGATGATAGTTTACTAGATGCAAACATACGTCAAAATTTATCAAACTGTATCTATTGTATATCAATTTACCTCGATAAAGCGATTTAAAAGAAAGAGAGTGGGCTGGGCGCAGTGGCTCACGCCAGTTATCCCAGCACTTTGGAAGGCTGAGGTGGGCAGATCACAAGGTCAGGGGTTGGAAACCAGCCAGACCAACAAGGTGAAACCCTGTCTCTACTTAAAAATACAAAAATTAGCCAGGTGTGGTGGTGCACATCTGTAATCCCAGCTACTTGGGAGGCTGAAGCAGGAGAATTGCTTGCACCTGGGAGATGGAGGTTGTAGTGAGCTGAGAGCTTGCCATTGCACTCCAGCCTGGGTGATAGAGTGACTTTGTCTAAAAAGAAAGAAAGAAAGAAAGAAAAGAAAGAAAGAAAGAAAGAAAGAGAGGGAGGGAGGGAGGGAGAGAGAGAGAGAGAGAGAGAGAGAGAGAAAGAAAGAAAGAAAGAAAGAAAGAAAGAAAGAAAGAAAGAAAGAAAGAAAGAAAGAAAGAAAAAGAAAGAAAGAAAGGAAGGAAGGAAGGAAGGAAGGAAGGAAGGAAGGAAGGAAGGAAGGAAGGAAGGAAGGAAGGAAGGAAGGAAGGAAGGAAGGAAGGAAGGAAGGAAGGAAGACAGCTGCCAGGCATGGTGGTTCATGCCTATAATCCCAGCACTTTGGGAGGCCGAGGTGGGCAGATCTGAGGTCAGGAGTTCAAGACTAGCCTGGCCGGCATGGTGAAACCCCGTCTCTACTAAAAATACAAAATTAGCCAGGCATAGTGGCACATGCCTGAAATCATAGCTACTTGGGAGGCTGAGGCAGGAGAATCACTGGAACCTGGAGATTGTGCCATTGCACTGTAGCCTGGGCGACAAGAGTGAAACTCTGTCTCAAAAAATAATAATAAATAAATAAAAGAAAGAGAGCTATCATCCAGCACAAAAACATGTTTTGAAGACAACTATTATTTGTGCTATCTTAATATGAAAATGATCAAAGCTTTATAAGAATTGTGAATAGCAGGGGTGGTGGCTATATCTGAGAAGAAAATATCTACCTTTCTCAAAGAAACTTGCGTATTTTTTCAATTATGTTTCCTCATGGTCTCTGTGGCAATTTCAACTTTAGAAATCTATTTATTCCTAATTGCTGTAATAATTCTCCTACTTTTATATGTCACTGTTTACTTCATTCCTGAATACCCAACTAATCTCAACAGTTTCCTTGGTTCCATTCCTCTCAATTTAGGGATTAACTATGTGAAAGTGAAGGTGAAGGATAGGAGGAAGGCCACAAGAGTGGTGGTGGTGTTAGAAGACAAGTTGCCGAGGCTGGGCGCGGTGGCTCACGCCTGTAATCCCAGCACTTTGGGAGGCTGAGGCGGGTGGATCACGAGGTCAAGAGATCGAGACCATCCTGGTCAACATGGTGAAACCCCGTCTCTACTAAAACTACAAAAAATTAGCTAGGCATGGTGGCGGGTGCCTGTAATCCCGGCTACTCAGGAGGCTGAGGCAGGAGAATTGCCTGAACCCAGGAGGCAGAGGTTGCGGTGAGCCGAGATCGTGCCATTGCACTCCAGCCTGGGTAACAAGAGCGAAACTCCTTCTCAAAAAAAAAAAAAAAAAAAAAAAAAAGGAAGACAAGTTGCCGTCAGCTTAAAGATCATTTAAAGGTGAGCTAAACCCATTGCCAAGATTCTGAACCAGTCCCTGATCACCAGTAATACTTACTGGATGCTGACACTATCCTCTCCTCTGTGTTTACACTCAGGTTTTCACAATAACCAAGTTCCTTATCAGAAGGCAATTATCATGAGAAGAAATCTACAGTACTCAAGAAAGCATGATATGTAACTTACCCCTGCTAACTCTTAAATTCTGAGGGCTGAGCTACTACTCAGACTCATTGGTGTTTTGATCTGTCTACTAATTTATCATTTACCTATCTGTATTTTTCTTTTTTTTGAGACAGTCTCATTCTATTGCCCAGGCTGGAGTGCAGTGGTGTGATCTCAATTCACTGCAATCTCTGCCTCCTGAGTTCAAGCAATTCTCATGCCTCAGCCTCCCAAGTAGCTGGGATTACAGGCACATGCCACCACACCCGGCTAATTTTTGTATTTTTAGTAGAGACCAGATGTCACTATATTGGCCAGGCTGGTCTCAAGCTCCTTACATCAGGTGATCCACTCGCCTCGGCCTCCCAAAGTGGTGGGATTACAGGCATGAACTACCATGCCCAGCCACCTATCTATTTTTATAGAGACAGGGTCTTGTTCTGTCACTCAGGCTAGAGTGCAGTCACAGTGACCATAGCTCACTGCAGCCTGTAACTCCTAGCCTCAAGTGATCCCTCCGGAGTAGCTAGGACTACAGGTGCACACCACAACCAGTATTTTTTCTTTGGTTTGGCTTTATTTTTTTATTTATATTTTTGAGACAGAGTCTTGCTTTGTCGCCCAGGCTGGGGTGCAATGGCCGGATCTTGGCTCACTGCAACCTCTACCTCCCAGGTTCAAGCAATTCTCTTGCCTCATCCTCGTGAGTAGCTGGGATTACCACCAGGCCCAGCTAATGCACAGGCGCGATCCCACTACTGATCAGCACGGGAGATTTGACCTGCTCCGTTTCCGACTTGGGCCAGTTCACCCTTCCTTAGGCAACCTGGTGGTCCCCCGCTCCCGGGAGGTCACCATATTGATGCCGAACTAGTGCGGACACCCAATCGGCACAGTGCACTACAGACCAGAACTCCTGGACTCAAGTGATCCTCCAGCCTCAGCCTCCCCGAGTAGCTGGGACTATACGTCACCGCGCCCGGCAATTTTTGTATTCTTAGAGACGGGGTTTCACCACGTCGGCCAGGCTGTTCTGGAACTCTTGACCTCGTGATCTGCCTGCCTCAGCCTCCTAAAGTGCTGGGATTACAGGGGTAAGCCACTGCACCCAGCCCTTATTATTATTATTATTATTTTAGCGATGGATTCTTGCAATGTTGCCCAGGCTGATCTCCAAGTCCTGGGCTCAACTGATCCTCCCACCTCAGCCTCCCAAAGTATTGGGATTTCAGGTCTGAGCTACCGCACCCAAGCCACCGCACCTGGCCAGAGCTACTAGTGCTCAGAGCAGTGATGAGCACTTTGCTATGCATATACTAGTAATACCAATAAATTGTACATCAGTAAATAGCAGTTGTATAACCTGAATAAAAATGAATTATCTAGTTCTTTAGGTCCTTATCTAGCTTATGCCTTGGCTTTGCCTTAGTAGAAAAGTCAAAACTCTGACATTTAGGACAAAGTCTTACCTCCTTTCTTTTTGTTGTGTCTACTGAGTAAGGCAAATATTAGAAAAGCAGCTAGGCCAGTGTCATGGGTCTCTGTTTTTGCTCTGGGACCTTTGACTGTTAGGCTCAGTCCAGATATTTAACATATTTTTCTTTTCTTTCTTTTTTTTTTTTTTTTTTTTTTTTTCGCTGCGCCAAAATTTAATGTATTTTTCTTTCTTTCCTTTTTTTTTTTTTTTGACAGCGTTTCGCTCTTGTTGCCCAGGCTGGAGTGCAATGACGTGATCTTGGCTCACTGCAACCTCCGCCTCCTTGCTTCAAGCCATTCTCCTGCCTCAGCCTCCCAAGTAGCTGGAATTACAGGCATGTGCCACCATACCCAGCTAATTTTGTATGTTTAGTAGAGACGGGGTTTCAGCATGTTGGTCAGGCTGGTCTTGAACTCCTGACCTCAGGTGATCCACCTGCCTCGGCCCTCCAAAGTGGTGGGATTACAGGCGTGAGCCACCGTGTCCGTACAATTTAACATATTTTTCTAGACTAAACAGTGTTGCTTCTGAATTTCTCCCTTGGACCTTGGACTGCTGGGTCCTTTCAGGCGACAAAGGATACCAGGTTAGGAAGTATGGGCTAGTGCTAACGTGAACTAGGAGCTAGCCAAAATTGACCTTAGAGTCAACTTAATATTGCAGGTGAGGGAACAGAGGCCTAAATGGCCACCGGCTCTCAGCAAAGAGGATTCGCAGCATACTGTGCTTTGCCTGCATGGGTGTTGTAAACACAGGGGCAGAGGCGTGTTTGGAGAAAGGGTTCAGAATTTGGAGTGCGACAGACCTAGGTTCCAACAGAGCTCTGCTTGGTTCTCGGTGGCTGTGAGGGTTCCCGCACACATCCTCCCGAACGCTCGGCGTCCTCACCGGTCCGCTAGCCTGGGTACCAGGCGTCAACGCGCCACTGGGCGCGCAGGAGGCCCCGAGGGCGGAAGGGCCGCCGCGACCACGCCCCCTGTCGGCTGGCCTGCGCCCAACGCACGGCTCGGGGGACGCCCGCGGCCGGATGCCCTGTGTCCGCTCCCTCCTCGGCCTCTTGGCGGCCGCGGCGGCTTGTGGCACCGTCGCCTTCCTGGGCTACTGTGTTTACCTCGACCGGAAGCGGCGCGGGGATCCCGCGTTCAAGCGCCGCCTGCGGGAGAGTGAGTGGGACCGAGGCTGAGGCGCGCCCGGGCCGGGCCGGGCAGAACGGGCGGCCGGCCGGGAGGACAACCCCGGACAGAGGTCGGGCCGCGAGTGCCTCACCACTGCCGAGGGGCCCGCGGCGCCCGAGCGGGCCGGACCACTGGGTCCACGCCTGCCTCGGGACGGGCCTCCCAGCCAGCAGTTGCCGTGTTGTGTTCGCAGAAAGAAGAGCCGAGCAGCAAAAGGCTGAGGAGCGGGGCGTGCAGGTGCAGTGCTTTCGATCCGCGCTGGTAGCTCTGTAGACGCGGGCCCGGCCTTGCTGGGCCGCGTGGCTCCTAGCGGCTCGGCAGCAGATAGTTCCCGCAGCCACGCGCCTCCCGCGCCCGGGAAGAGGCCTGCCCTCGCGCCCCACGAACCGCCCCAGGCCCAACCACTCTCCTCTCACAAAAGGGAGGGAAAGAAGGAGGGTGGAAGAAGTTGGAGTGATAAAAATGCAGCTGTAAAGCAAAACATTGTAGAACAGGCACTTGTTTTAACTGGAAGAAGGAAGATTTTGCCCTGTCAGAGCCGCACAGGACACTTAGAGACCCAGGCTGGCCATGGTCACATGGCAGTAACTTCTAGATTGTTCTCTCGCAGTGCCTTTCTTTTGCTCAGAAGCAGAACGCATCTTCATGATTTCTAAATCTCTACAGCAGAATTTGATTAGTCCCTTTTTGTTTTTAAGAGACAGGGGCCGGACACGATGGCTCACGCCTGTAATCCCTGCACTTTGAGAGGCCGAGGCGGGCAGATCACGTGAGGTCAGGAGTTCGAGACCAGCCTGGCCAACATGGTGAACTACTGTCTCTACTAAAAATACAAAAATTAGCCGGGCATAGTGGCGCATGCCTGTAGTCTCAGCTACTCAAAAGACTGAGGCAGGAGAATTGCTTGAATCTGGGAGGTGGCAGTTGCCGCCTGGGTGACAGAGCATGACTCTGTCTTTAAAAAAAAAAAGCCGCCGGGCACGGTGGCTCAAGCCTGTAATCCCAGCACTTTGGGAGGCCGAGGCGGGTGGATCACGAGGTCAAGAGATCGAGACCATCCTGGTCAACATGGTGAAACCCCGTCTCTACTAAAAATACAAAAAATTAGCTGGGCATGGTGGTGCGTGCCTGTAATCCCAGCTACTCAGGAGGCTGGGGCAGGAGAATTGCCTGAACCTGGGAGGCGGAGGTTGCGGTGAGCCGAGATCGTGCCATTGCACTCCAGACT